GTGATAGGGTCATGGAGCCTGGTATGGGAGAGGACATGGGCTGCAAAGTTCTGGATGACCTGCAGCCTATAGAGGGAGGCGTTGGGGAGGCCAATAATCAAGGAGTTTGTACAGTCAAGCCTCAATGTTATGAATTTGTGTATGAGGGTTGGAGGCGCTGACAGGAGCCAATCAGGAGAGCCTCGGTCTTGTTGACATTCAACTGAAGAAAGTTAGCTCTCATGCAGGACTTGATGTCTGTCAGACATTCTGTCAGGACAGCAGTGGTCCTGGAGTCAAGGGTGGAGGCAGAGAGGTACAATTGGATGTCATCCACGTACATGTGGAATTTGACCCCATATCTGTGGATGATGTCACCAAGAGGAAGCATATAGATATTGAAGAGGAGCAGACAGAGCTCTGAGGAACGCCACATGCGACAATGCAGGGGATGGAGGAGAAATCATTTGTAGAGATGATATGGAGGTGGTGTGAAAGGTACAATCTGAACCATTCAAGGGCAGAACCATGAAGGTTGAGATGAGAGGAGAGGTGGTGGATGAGGATAGAGTGGTCATCGGTGTCGAAGGCAGCAGAGAGGTCGAGGAGGATGAGAAGGCAGAGGGAGCCCTGGTCGCAGGTGGACAGAATGTCATTTGGCACTTTGACCAGAACTGTGTCTGTGTTGTGGGTGCCTTGGATACCCAATTGGAGGGGTTTGTTAAGGATGTGGTGGGAGAGGAAGGAGTGAAGCTGGGAAACAGTGACTCAATCAACACCTTGGAGAGGAAAGGGAGGTTGGAGATGGGGCAGTGATTCGAGAGTAGGAATGGGTCCAGGGAGGGTATTTAAGGATAGAAGTGATGACAGCTATTTTTAAAGGGGGGGGGGGAATGGTACCAATGGATAGGGAGAGGTTTTTGATGTTTGTGAATAGAGGGGCAAGGAGGTGGAGCTGGGAGGTAAGAAGAGTGGTAGAGATGGGGACGATGTAGCAGGTGGTCAGTTTCATGCGGGTTATAGTTGTTGTGAGTGAGGAGTGCGAGACAGGTTCAAAGGTGTGGAGGGAGGGATGGGTAGGGGCCAAGGTGAGAGGGGAAGATGGAAGGGCAGAGGCAGCTGATTTTGGATTTAAGGAAGTCCAGCATCGCCTCGCAGTTGGCATTGAGGTGAGGATGGGTGAGGCATGAAAGGGTGGGTGGAGGAGCTGAATGGTGATGGAGAAGAGGAGCCTGGGGTTGTCCTTGGCCTCCAAGATTGTCTTGGACCAGAATGACAATTTATCAGATAACAAATTTTACAATGGTTTCAGAAGGGAGAATAGCTGAGTTCCTGTCAACTAAACAAATTGAAGAATTAATAGAATTAGAAGACATGGATACTGTAAATAAATCTTATAGAAAATTGGATGGAAAGGTTGGATGGACTGATGGTCCACTCCTGCATGGAATTGTTACAATATAGTGCAGTGAACAAGAAAAAAGAGCCTAGAAATTATAGAGCGATCATCCTGACTTCTGTTGTCATAAAATCCTTGAGTGTTACACGGAATACTATTAATGCTCATCTAAAAGGAAACATGCTGCAAACAGTACTCAAAATCTAGGAGCGATGGTTCAGGTCTCACAAGGTTAAAAATCGTGAATTGGTTTGGAGGTTAGAACAATTATGTTCCCATCGAATATTGGATTGTTAGAACAGACTCTTAATGCAATTCACATCTATTAATTGCTTCAAACAGTCACTGGACAATTATCCATTTCAGAAAAGTATTAGAGGTGTCCAGATAGGTGCCAGCTGAAATGAACACAGAGACGATGGGATCAATGCTTTCTCCCCTGTTGGGCCTCGTGTGCCTGTATGTGTGTATGTGTGTGTGTGTGTGTGGTGGGGGGGGGGGGGGGGGAATTGTTGCCCATGGTGGAAGTCCACCAGGGGTGAAAAATGGAAATGTGGTTAGGCAATAGAATGGAACAATAGGTGTTTTGCTTAATTATCTTTAGAGATAATAGACTATCAATGCAGAAGTGGCTGGGATGGAGTCCACCATTGGGTTAGGTCTTCCAAGGCATGTGGCAGAACTGGTAAGTCTGGATGAGTCCTCTTCTCAGAGCATGAGATCACCAGTGATGTCTTAAGCCAATATGTAGAGTTAATGTAATTAATACGACAAGACTAGGCTACCATGTTTATGTCACAATTGCGGTATACGATTCCTACTTGCTGATTATTTTTCCTATAGGAAATCTTTTTTTTAAATTTAGGATTGAACTTCCTTGCGTTTGCTCTTCAATCCATAGTTGCTTAAGTGCCACATTGTATAAAAATGTAACTAACTCAATGTCGTCTTCTAGATCAACGATACGTGTAATTGTAACAAAGTTGTGTATAAATAACTTAAGAGAACCGTAAAGTGCACGTTTCTATAACAGCGTATTTAACCAACAGATACATCGCCAGTAAAATCGGAGTGAGGCCATGGATGCTTGGAATACAGTGCACATTCATAGCAACAAAAAAACACAAGTACAGTACAGTGCAGATCATTTTGTATGTTACTAAATCTGCTTGACGTGAAACATCCTGACTATTCTAAAAATGATACTGGGTGTCCACATAAAGCTTTTCTGTTGAAGCGAATTTACACAAATTACAAATCCCCTATTTCTACTGAAAACATCAGATGTACCCAATAATGCCTATTTGCTTAATCTCTTCGAGAATATTGTCAATCGGTTACGATCATTAAATAAACCCGCACACCCTTGCTAACTTGATATTTACGTATATTTTTAAAAATCTAAATTGGATGTTTTGATCCCTTAAGGAAAAAATGCCCGTCTATATCGACAGATGGAATAAAATAGCCACTGCGCCTTGAACTCTATTTGTGGCATGTTTGAAAGTATTGTAATACATACATTTTCTCATTTCAAAGTTACCATTTGCGTCGTGTTAACTTTTCTAAATAGACAATTCGGTTCAGATCAAGTGATGTCTCAATATACAGCATTAACAATTGCAATAAACAAATTCCAGCTGTATTTCAGTATTTAAAATAAATAAACACGTTTATGGAAGTATCGGATGAAAATATGTTAATTAATCTTCAAACAAAAGTAAGGACTCGTGCCCAGAGTAGGAAATCGTGTAAATCAGTGTAGAACAAGAGATGTCTTCTTTATTTTTAACAAGTAATATGTCTTATATGTATCTCCCTCTCTCTCCTCAACTCTGCTACCCTTCCATCGGCTTAAGCCACAGCGTTGAAAATTCCCCATCGACTTTGCCTTGTTCTCAATTCATTGAATATTGGCGAAAACGGGATGTCTTCTACATTATGTTCAGAGAAAACCTGCTGGAAATCATACCAGCTTGGAAAGCGGCGCCGGCAGGACAGCATTGGCGACATGTCTGCAGTGTACCTCTTAAACAATTGCTAAAAGTTACAGTCAAGATGGATCTGCAATTTGTTATCGGGTTTTATCACTGAAAGATATTCCTACTCGCAAAATCGAGTCAAAGTATCTAACAGCTAAATTTCTATGTATGGTTAAACTGCCCCAATAACGTCAGATATGGATGAATAGCTATTGATATATTATCTGAGAGGTTCAGAAGTCAACAGTTGCTGAAGATGTGCTCTGCAGCACCAGTGACAGCTCCTGCAGGCTTCCTGCTACTGTTAGACCACTTGTGGCACTGTGGAAGTGCTGCATATATAAAAGAACAGTCCAGGACACGCTTGTTGTCTTTTTTTTATGTAACGCCAAGGGATTTGGGTTATTTATTTTCACCATGTAATTCCGACCGGAAAATATGTTACACGAGTTAGTATATTGTTGTGTTAATAATCGTCTGTGTTGTGGTTTTCGTCTCAGTTCTCAGGAGACATTGTTTTGCGTGTGCAATAGAAATACTCTTCAGAAAGTCAGGTTAGACATGCATCGACATGAGTATTAACTATATTAACTGATTTGGTTTAAATAAAATTAAACAATTCGAGCAAAATGCTACGACTTCTGATTTCGCTCATCATCCCATCCACTTTTGTTCCGACCAGTTTGTGATATTATGAAATTATGTATTTCTTTCTCTGTATTTTACTGACAAGACGATTCCTCTATTTTGTCTTAAAACCATTCATACCTATTTCATGGTAAATAACTAAATGTATTCCAGTAATATTACATCAAGCAGTGAATTGAAATCAAAACACGATGAATGCATTATGTTTCTCTTAAAAATCCTCCGTTTGATTAAAAATAAACCAAACTTACTTCGATTTACCACCGTTCACGTCAGGACCTCTTCACGGGATTTAGGTGTAAGGTGTAGTGACTATGTTTTGCAGGCGAACGCGGCAATCAATTTGTGGAGTATTTGGTGACGATCTGTTATTCTTTGGTTGGTGGTTATGTTGGATCTTTCTGTCCAGTGCTCTCTATTCCCCAAGTTGTAAGATCTTATCATGAATTGTACAATTGCAACTAAAATCCATTCATTTATAAATCCACCAAAACAGGACACAAACTCACCACAACTCCAGCCAACTGCCCAGAGCCTCACATACACATGCTTTCCCCCNACCGATTACTCGTTTGAAAAAAGGTAGGTCTAATAGTTCAAAGATCATTGGTCAGTTGCATTACATTTCTGTGCTTTTTCTATTCTAAATCATGTTCTCCTTTTCAGCACTTCTGCACAACTGCCAAACTGGGGCTGTCCAAAAATGTTCAACAGTTATTTCACTTTTTCTATTCACTTGCGCATAAATAGTAAAGAATGATACACGTGATCGTACACCAAGTTTTTTTTCTTGATTTATTATTCATTTTGTAAATGTTTTACAACATTCTGTTACTATCATGTTGTATTGCTATCATTTTACTCTCAGCCCAGCTGTCCACACTCTTCCAACTTTGCTAAATTTGAACGCCGTGTAAATCGTATTTGAATATGACATTCTTTGAAGTTTTCTTTTCACCTATATGCATAAAAAATAAATATCCACACGAAGATTTTAAACCAAACGATTTTATTGGGGAGAAACATCAGTCCAAACACTAGAGAGAGAGAGAGAGAGAGAGGGAGGGAACAAGCAACAAATAAAAATACACATGTTAATCCATTTCGTATTGCATATGTCAACATATACATGCCGTAGTGCCGTGTTAAGTTAAGGCAAGGAAGTGTGTTTGCGAATTTTGTTAAGAACACTTCATCAAGGTTTTCATGCCGTTACATATTGATACTCCGCACATCAGGGTGCCCTTCATAGAGCTTCGTTAATAGGGCATCAACACATTTCCTTAAGAACACGCACCTACTCCTTACTATTTGTTGACTATTGTATCGTAGCATGTAGAGACAATAAAAAACAACGCTTGATTTGAAGGATTGTAAAGGAGTAGTTTTGAAAACGTATCTTCCTATTATGTCACTTCAGTGTAAATATTATCTACAGCGGCATATTAAAAGGCAGTTTTGTTTTGTGAACAACCGTTTAACACAGTAAAGGGACACGTTTCCCTATTGACATCTAGTAAGTTGCATCAGGAGTAAATATATAAAATAATTAATCAGTAATGGTACTGATATTCATTATTTCCATAGGTATCCGGGTTTCTATATATGCAGTGACGGATTTGGATCCCTTCAATCTTGTTTGCACCATTTGGAATGGCCCCACACTTACACACACTGTGCTGTATCCATTACACATTCAATACTATCAAATGAATCAAACTGTTATCCTGCCGCATTGGTCATGTGGAAGGTATATCGTGTCTATCAAACTGGCTAAAAATATTTACAAATGTTCCCGTTAAATTAAACGTGTACCTGAAACGCAATGAAGGGTCCATATGGTGTATATTTCCCTTTAAAGGGTTCGTTACTGATATATAATTTACTCACTTGCATAGTTTTTCGATTATTGCTGCTCTGCCAACATGTAACATTCGAATATGAGTGCAGTCGTGCTGTTAAAAACAATTTTATATCAATTATTTAATGTACCACCCAGTGCTTTATCTTAATTACTTGTGATCTGTATAGCCACTATTTTTTGCTCATTAATTATGAAAAACTGCATTTAATTCGTCCTGCATTGAAAGTGTCTCGTTGCGCAGATGGAAATCGTAAGGAAACGCGCTGTCTGTGGGCACCACACACCGCATGGCTGGGCTGAACATGTAGCTCTGTCCAAGGGGACGGCTGGCTGGCACAGCGGAATAATGCATGCCATAGTGACAATTCTTCACATAGTCAGATGGATCTTCTTGCTTCAGGGAGAAAATCCCATTAAAGTTAATTGGTGGGCTTAGGGGACCTTCAAACTGTGGGCTCACACACTCGGGAGAAGCGCTTTGGTAGAAGGATTCATAAGCACCACAATAGCTGTAGGGCTTGACAGCCTTGGAGGAGCTGTCCATGGGCCCCTGGCCTGAAGGACTGCCAAGATCAGGGTTCTGATACGGGTAGAGACCCGAGGAATACTGGGATCTCGCCATGTGAGTTGCATCTCCTTTCTGATCCACCAGCAAGTTCCTCGTGTTGAGCTGCAGACAGCCAGCCACCAGGTTGGTGGTTGGTTGCGACAAGTCTTTGCACAGACTTTGCACAAAGGTCAGGAGGTCGGGTCTCTTGCCCATGCGTAGGATTTCAGACAGGGCGTAGATGTAGTTTTTTGCCAAGCGCAATGTTTCTATTTTGGAGAGTTTCTGTGTTTTGGAATAGCATGGGACAACTTTGCGAAGGCTGTCCAGGGCATCGTTGAGACCATGCATCCGGCTCCTCTCCCTGGCATTGGCTTCATGCCTTCTCACTTTGATTACTTCAAACCTGGCTTTACTCTTCTTCTTCCTCGGCCCCCGCTTTTTGGGCTGTTCCTCGTCCTCTTCCTCGTCTCTCCCGTTCTCTCTCTCCGACTCCACAGACTCGGTCATGTTGCTGTCTTCCACCAGGCACTTGTCGTGCTCTGTGCAGACATCTGTGCAGGATTTTGCTCGTCCGTCCTCAGTCTCGGACATGTCGCTAAAATTGGTACCGGGCATCAAGGCGGGTTCGTCAATGGGTGGCAAAGTCAACATGTTGTCAGCTAGAGAGACGGAAAGACAGAGCAGTCGAGTCATACAGCAGATTCCTCGCTCAAACCATCCAACACATTGACATATAACGGGATTAATTTACTCCGCGTTTCCTGCGCTCAAGCGGATTCAAATCCTTCGTATTGAGCACACGATTTCTAACTTTGAAACTATTTGTTCATATCCGATCCTCATTATTTTTTCACACCTCTCTGCGCTGTCCATTCCCGCGGTCTTATTTGCAAGATCAGAATTGTGAGTCCCAGCTCGGCGAGTGAGGCAGCTTTCCCCCCCTCGCGTTTCTTGTAGGCGTTTGAGATGTTCTGACAAATATTAAAATAATTGGGTAAACGCTGTGCGACTGACAGGTTTGTGAAAAAAAAACACAGGATGTCTCCACCGTTTTGCTTTAATTCTCCAGGGAAAGAAACTTCACATGGATTATAATTAAAAATACAGGATGGCTTACAAATGCCCATATCTAAACCCTAGTAATACTCTTAACATTGGCATCCTGACAAACGCAAAACAAGTTATACAAGATCTTCGATTTCCGCGGGGAGCGATCTTTATTTTTTCAGCATTTTTAAACGACCTTTTATTTGGGATTTAGCATTACAATAAAAAATCATATTGCATTGAAAGCCGCCGCGCGGCTTGTTTACAATTATACGCCATATTAATAATAACTTGGATCCACCACCCAGCCGCCAAGTTATAATGGAGAATCCGGTATTTTTTGGAGATGAATTCCCTAACAATAAAAAACGGAGATATAAAACTCTTGAATACTGCGGTATTGACTCGAAGATTCTGGGATTCAAATTCAGAAAGAGTTCCATGTGTTACAGAGCATCAACCTTGGCATTACTTATGCAGTGCAATAAATCATTTGACAGATGGAAGGGTTTTTTTGTGGGATTTTTCACCAAGAAATATTGCAATTTACACATGTTTTCTTTGCATTCGAGTGAAAGTTAACGTGTTACACTCCAAAGTTTCTCACCATATCACAATAATGCAGCATATATACATTAAAAAGGCTTGAAAAGCAAGATTCATTTTAATTAGCCTGATGTGCTTTGGAACCTATGGGAAAAAAAGGTTCAAAATAGCACCTTTCATCAATATTGATTGATTTTATCATTGCTTTTATTTTAGAAGCAGTCGCCCAAAGGGTAAGGCTATTTGTAAATTCTCAAGGCTAAAATGTGGGAGTTGGAACAATGTTCTGGTAATTTATGAATGAAATGACACCGGAAGACAATCGGTATTGCCCCAAATGATCGCCCACTGCACTGACTTGCAATCTTATCAAATTGCGTGCAAAGTGGACATTAACGCTTGGGCTTAAAACAACAGTGGTTAAACACTGTTAGGGCGCTCGCACGTCGCCGAAGGAGACGGCGATATTTACCATCTGCCCACGTTTTCATTTGATGCATGCGATCTCTTTGCTCCGAATGATCAATCGTACATTTATGAACGTACATTGGAGGCGTAACGTAGGTTCTTACCTGAAATCAATGCTCGGAAGGGATGCTCATTGTCGGCTGTGTGTGTGTGAGTGTGTGTGTGTGTGTGTGTGAGTGCTGTGGCTGCTCGCTTGCTCGCGGTGTGCCGGCCGGCAGTGGTGGGTTGCTGTGCGGGCTGGGGCTGGGGCTGGGGCTGGGGCTGGGGGTGTGTATGTGTGTGTGTGTGTGTGTGTGTGTGTATGATCGCTCTGAGCAGTGACAGTGATGCCAACTGCCAGTGCTGGTACCATGCCATCTGCCGCTGACGTCGACGGGCAGCCGCCGCTGATTGGCAGGTGCAGGCACTGGCATCTTGCGCCTCAGGGGAGCCCGGGGAACGGCAGCACACAAGGCATCAGATATTATAACCATCTCTGTGGGGCAGAGGGGCTTTACAGCACACAGGAGAAGAACACTATGGCACACATCCCACCTTATACCTGAATTAACCCCCACTGCCACCCATCACAGCCGGTTAGATAGACTCCGGGCAGAAATTTCACTTGGATCGAGGTTTTTTTTTCTTCTTTTTTCTGAACATGCACACTTTGGGCAATTCTTCCATTGACTCTGCAGGTGATTTCTGAGGCTGCAAAATTTCAGATCCGATCGTAGATTTGTTCAAATTTCGCACGCTTTAAAATGCTGAGATAAAACGAGAAACACACTGAGGTGCTGAACTGCCCAGAATTAATGCAACGTAATAAACTATAATGATAAATCACATAACAAATCATATAATAATTAATATAATAATAAACTATGAGGCTAAATCATATAATAATAATCATATAATAATTAATAAAATATAATAATAACAATCCTTTCATTTTTTATAGGGTTTTCAACATCGAGAGGACACCTCAAAGCGCTTCACAGAATTTAGTATTGTGTAGTGACTGTGTGTTTTGTAGGCTGAGTGATGAAGCGACCCTCAGGACAAGGTTTTCTTCTCACGTTTACCCAGAATTGAATCTTTAAATCAAGAATTGCCTTAAATCTATTTTAACACCAAAACATGGATAGATTTGGGTTAGGCACACACAGGCATCGAGGTGGGAAACCATTGTATTAAAACAGTATGGACCGTATCGAAAATGCTTCCAATTGTATTTTAGTAAAGATGTGCTCATTTGTTAGGATGTCGACTGGTATCATCCAGGTGTTGTGAAAGTCCAGCGATTCTGGCAACATACACAATGGCTCAAGTGTTAGACAATAAAACGTGTGACATATTGATCATGTTCATCCGCCAAAATTAGAGAGGGGCTCTCCGATAATATTTTTAATTATTATCATGGACTGTTAATCTATATTTTAACTACACGTCTGTCTGGGATAATCTGCCACACCTTGGTCCCACAGATGAATTTAAATGGATTACCAATCTAACCATTCGGAATGACATTGTGGATGTCCAAGTGTAAGTGACAGTTTTCGATATAATCTTTGTGTGTGTGTGTGTGTGTGTGTGTGGGGGGGGGGGGGTTGGAGTTTGATTCAATATAACATTATGTGTGGAATGCATCGCCTTTGTTGTTCCTTGGGCATCAAAGATAAATTGCAAGTGACTGAGCTGTGTGGAATAACTGGTCTATATGAATAGTGCAGGGGACCATAGTTCCAATAGCACCAATGTTTGGTCTTGTTTCCAGTATCATATCACACAAATCACAGGCTTTCCAAAAGAGAAGACGGGGGGAACCAGATATATAGGACACGCATTTGCCATCTGTTTTAGTGCGTTTCTGTTTACTTTCTGCCAGTTATCGCATCCCTCCCCAAGATTTCCAATGTATTTCGCATCAATTTATTTCCATGTGCACTGAGTTAGAATACCATTTTGCGTTTCGAAAAATGTAGGTTTATTTTTAATCCCAAGTAAGTTAATTCAACACGTAACGTAGCCCTTGAATTCAAAGGCAAATAAAATAATTAGCTTTCAATTAAGTTTAGACGTTCATTTTTAAGCTTCACATTTTGAACAAAAATGTGTCAAGGTTTTTATTTTTTAGGCAGGATGAACATGGGTGGAAAATGAACCCAGGAAACAGTGCAAAGCACATTGCTGCGGTACCTCTCTGTGAGCAGGGGATCAGGAACACACATTGAGCATTGCATAGCTAAGGCCTCCACCTTTTTCGGCATTAGAATTGTGTTCTCCAAAATAGTGCTTTCCGCCCCAACACGGGCTGCCAAACTGATACCACAACACTACCCAGGCAGCGGCACGGATCCTACAGAATAACAGATAATGCTATTTTAGTTAATATCTGAATGTCAATCTTTACGTGAACAAAATAGGCAATGTGTTTCCTACAGCGCAGGCTTAAACTCTTAAGTTAAATAATTATTACAGTGCATATGACACCATTTTTCTCTCTCAAATCCATGCATTATTAATACAGGGCGATAGAGACTTTAGTGAGAATATAAATACACCGCTGAGCTTTTGTTGTTCCACGGGGGATAAGATATTCTTATTTAACTGTTCGGCTTGCTCCAATTTCCCAAATGCATTGCCTTTGCACGGAGAAATACACAACCCGAGCCTTGCACTCTGCAATCTTTTAATCATTATACATGGTTTACGACTTCTGGCATGAAACTTCATAGCACATTACAAACCCCTGAAAGGTAGGAACTTTGGAAAGATAGGAATCCGAGTTGGTGGAATCGGGTTGGACGTGGATGTGGAATGGACAGTGTAATCTGCTCCATCTTGGTCCCTCTGCCCTCGCCTCCTCCAGCACTGAGCCGCAGCACAGCACAGCCCTGCCAGCCCGCTGTTACCAGCCTGCGACAGCCACTGGCACTGCCCACTGAGCAGTGGGCATTCAGCCTCGGCGTTACCGAACGCGTCTCTTCTCCAAATCTCTTCTTGCATCGCGCAGCGCTCCAGACATCTTACATCAATATCAAAGACAACCAGTTTAACTACAATGATGCATTTAACATTATGTGTGTGTGTGTGTGTGTGTGTGTGGTGGAGGTGGCATGAATATTTCTTTCAACATTTAAAATAGTCGATTATTAGGAATGCCCTGGAAAATCAATCAATCTGCTGCATCCCCCTTGTTGGTACGACAGTCATTTCTACAGTAACCGAAATTAATGTAAATACGATAAAATAATACTACAGACGTTGGCCTTTGCCAATGAGCTACACCTCGGCTAAGATGCCTCCAGACTGTTCCCGGAATCAATCGCTCGGGAATCGGGATGCCGCCAGCAGCCTCGCTACAAAACCTCCAGTCACTCACTAACCCTTTTTGCAATAAAATATTCTTCTTACTGTTCTTGTGCTGCATTTATTACAAGTAGGAAATCTGGATTTAGTAATTTTCACATTTAGAATATCTGACAGCAGGGAACCATCTCCATATCACTGCACAGAGGATGACATCTGTGGTTGCCTTTTTTTTTAACCCCCATCTAACTTTAGAAATAATACATATATTTATATTATATTTGATGCAATAAAACAATCGTTTCAAGGAAATAACACACAGATACAGTTCATCTCTATCAGACCATATAATGCAATATCTAGTCTAAGCTGGAGTCAGGCTATTAGGAGATCGAATCAGTTTGGTGCTGTTTGAGACATTCCTTGTCCTTGTAACCACAAGTGAGGGGGAAACAGTGTTCTTTACAGGGATGGAGTGAATGTGCTGCCTGGTCAACTTGGCTGTATTCGCTTAATTGGCATTTGCTTTAGCCGTGATCCACGCCAATAACAAATGGAGGGGGTTACACTTCTAACATTGATTTGCCTGTTGGAGAATGATGGGAGCTGGCAGGTTGGAATTATGGAGCCAGTTCTGCAACACTCTCACCCTGGGCTCTACTCAGGTCAAGCAGACTTGTGTGCAAGTGCACTGCAGAGTGTCTCTAAGTTGGTGCCTGGATGCTTCTTCCAATTGCTCTTCAATAACATTAAACCCTGAAGGCCTTGTAGGAACAATTTAAAACCTATACTATAATAATAATCCTTGCATTTGATATAGCGCTTTTCATGTCGGGAGGACGTCCCAAAGCGCTTCACAGAACACACTGTAAATTGAATTGACTGTATATTTGTGGGCGAACGCGGCAGCCAATTGCATACAGCAATGTCCCACAAACAGTCGTGGATTGAAAATGACCAATTTATTATTGTTTTTTTTAAGGGATTATTATTAGGCTCTGTGTGGAGTAAGGAAACTTGCCCAAGGTTTCGCCCTCTGCCTGGAATTGAACTCAGGTCTCTCGCTTGCAAAGCGAGTGCTCTAACCACTGAACTACAGGACTCCACACAGGACTCCGCTACTCTGATTGTATTGCACTTTTGCATTGATTCACTGTGAATATTAATGCCAAAATCCAGTTATAAATCACAACATGAGGCCGGAGATTCTATCTATTCAGCCTGCAAAAGCATTTTGTCTTAAAATGTAAGGTTGTATGGAAAACTCTTACTCGGAAAGCTAGTTTTCTACCATCCATATGATGAACCAATTTGCAGATTAAGACGAAATTGAGGAATTTTCTATAATTCTGTGCAATCTTAACTTTGTACAGGTGCAGTGGACCAAACTCAACCACAAGGGAGGGGTAAACAGTATTTCCAGTATCAGATATGAGCTGTCTCACTTTTACTTTTGATGGCCATTGTTGTGTGTTTTTCCATGTGACAAACGTAATACAGCATGTCCTGATCTTTCTGATAACAACAGAAGTATACATATTTCAGTGGTCCTACTTTCTTTTTAACTGTTTTCAATAAAAAACCTTAATTTCTCATAGCTCTATACAATGACAATGTGCAATGCTTTAATTGTGCACTATTACCAGTATCAGTTAATAGAGGTATAGTAATAATATTTTTTATTATTTTTGCATTTGACATAACAGCTCCTTTCATGTTGGGAAGACGTCTCAAAGCACCTTACGGGATTCACCATTATGTTAGTGACTGTGAATTTTGTAGGCTAGGATACAAGGAGAAACTTCTCTTTTTGAATAGTGCGATGGGATCTTTGAAATCTCAAATAATAGTCACTACAATTTACATTGAATTCTGTGAAGTGATTTGAAATGTCCTCTGACGTTATTAATTAATTTTCAGTCAAGCAGGGGTTACAAATTCAACAA